TTCCAAAGAAATAAAGATTGTTTTCAAACAGGTTTCCCAGCCATTGGACAGACATACAGATCTTTCTTATCCTATGGTGCCTGGATGTTCAAACCAAGCAATGCTTTAAGTTGGGATCATGCATTTAAAACCAAATTATAGGGAAAGAAGAAATTATTACTAAAAACAATTACATGTAAATATTTAAGTATAAAAACCCCAGCTGAAAAAAGTGCACTTCCATAATGTACTTAAAACGCTCTATTTTCACACACTAATTTTGTACTTAATATACTAAAAAAAAAAAAGATTTAGTTCCTCTTCAGATAAACCTAAGATCATTTAAGTGTTCTCAACTGCAATTTTGGGACACCATAAATATGAACTAAAATGTGCTTTTAACATACTATCTCTATTTACAAAATGGATTTAGTTACCACTCGTAGTACACTCAACATTTTAGTTCATATTCATGGTGTCCCAAAATAGCAGTTGAGTACACTTAGATGATCTTAAGAAGAACTAAATCAAATTTTTTAGTATATTAAGTACAAAATTAGTGTGTGAAAATAGAGCATTTTAAATCCATTATGGAAGTGCTTTTTTTTTTTCACCCGGGACAGCTTAATCCAAAGCAGTTGTCTATCCATAAATAAGACATGATGCTATAGAACTTAAGCCTTCAAGGAGGATGTTGTTCAAGGAAATTAATTTGTAAACTAAAAGCTAACTGGGCAAGTTTATTGATTTTAACACACTGTGCATCTCTCTAGGTCACTTCTGTCTCGTCGCTGAGGACCTACCGTACAATACAATAGAGGAAATTGTGGGTTTGTGTCCTGTTGGAGTGGACGCCTGCGGCTCCTTCACCTTCATATGCCAAAACGAGCTGACTATAGACACCTTCACGCTACCCGCAGGAAAACAGCTGACCCTGCTGTCAATGGAGGTCGCCAGAAATGGAGAAAGACTGGCACGGTGTCAGGTGGTGGGGCAGAACATGGCCTCTGCAGAGATACTCCTTCCTCTGGCCCTCAGAGGAGAGTTTTACGAGTGTCAAAGTGACCGTGGCTACTCTCTACAGGAAATCATGTCGTCATCCAGACTGAGCTGTCGTCACTTCCGCAATACAGCTGAGAAGAACAGTGGAAGCTTGTTGATTTTTAGCCCAGTGTATGAAATTAGTGCCATCATGCATAGTAAGTACAACAGTGTTACTCGGTAAATATTTGTCAAGTCCTTGTCCCACTGACAGGTTGCTGGTGCCAAAGCCAGATCCATAATTGTCCAGCACTGATGATGTATTTTTTTTAGCACAGGAAGTTAGCATCACCCTGGTTCCCTCGACAAAAACCCAAAAGGATTTTTCCATTGGCTTTTGGATTATTGCAGAAATTAAGCTGTGCCCAAACTCTGAAGTCCCATTTAGCCACTTGTTAGCAACTGCCATCTTAAAGACAAGTAAAATGTTTAGAATGAAACGTGAAAATATCTTGCAGTTGCACTTGTGCGAACCACAGACCTTATTTCAGGCGTTTACCCAAAAACCCATTCAGAACCCCACTGACTTCAGAACAATGGAACCAGAAGAGCTGCACTTCTAGAAGCATGACAAATGAAAGGAGTCTGAATCTGCTAAAATGTGAACTCGTTTCCAGGTTTTGGCCTACAAAAATACATCATCATTATTTTTCACCTTATAAAAAAAGAGCCAATTGCAAACTGGTAACGAAGCTCCACTTCTCACATTGTCCTAAAAAGTATTGGGTGTCCACTGGCTGGACCAACTTGCTCTTTGATAAGAAAATATTGCATGTCTTTTTTTCTTTCTTGCTGATTTGAAATGATGCAAGCAGTGTTTAAGATTCTGGTATTTCCCCATTTAAGTAGATAGGAGTTGGTTTTGCATGCCTGGAGAAACTACCTGAAGGCCTTGCAAATATGGCCACAGAGTTAACTGACTTTCCTTGAAAGTGACTTTATAATATAATCAATAAAGCAGTCTGAAGTGGAAATTATTTGATATGAATTGTACTATAACTTCTGATCATTGCATCAAAAGCAGCTTGTGATTTAATCAAATTACTTTTGGTGCCAATATATGTTTTCAAACTTGCAACACACGATCGGTTACTGTACATCATTTTTTGGCAAGTCAGTGAAAGCAAGCTCAAAGAGTGGTTTGCAGATCCCCCAGTCAAGCACCATGTTGGTGGAATAAGGCTATCAGTCATCACTCAATGCTACTCCTGGAGGTCCACCTACCAGCAGAGTTTAGCTGTAACTCTAACACACTTGGACCAGCTAATCAAGGTCTTTGGGTTTACGTGAAAACTACAGGCCAATATGTTGGAGCAGATTTGGAGTCCTCCAGGAGTGGCACCGAATACACCTGTCACAGAGCAGGGGTGTCCAATCCCACTCCTCCACTTTCCTTTAAAGTTTAGTTCCAACTGATCTAACATTCTTAAACCAGCTAATCAATGCCTTTTGGTTTACCTAAGAACTTCAGGCCATGTGTTGGAGCAGAATTGCTGTCTTCTATGATTGGGACGGAGTACACCTGTCATAGAACAGGGGTGTCCAGTCGTGCCATTATCATGCAAAGTTTAGCTCCAATCCTAATTAAACACATCTGAACCTGTTAATCAAGGTCTTCAGGATTACTAGAAACATCCAGGCAGGTGTGTATGGAGCTAAACTCGGCAGGACACTGGCTCTCCAGCAGCAGGACTGGATGCCCTAATCATAGAGGCTTGATGCATGGAAATGGTCTTGGAATAAATGTTTGTTAATGATTTTTTATTTTTTACATATAGTGAGGAAGAACGTAGTCAAGTTCCCATCCAGCCTGGAAGTGGATGTCCAGGACGTGACCGAACAGTACCAGGATTTAGTTTTCATAACTCCATTTTCAATGACTGAAGTTGCGAGTCAGCCACCGGAGTCCTTCCCGACTATGGCAGAGATCCTTGACGGCCCTGAAGGCAACCAGTTTTTTAATTGCAGCTGGTTCCAAGAACTGCAAAGAGGCAGGCGGCTCGTGTTGCATGCGTGTGGCACAACAACAATGATATTAGCCTCAACTCCAAAGGGGAGGAAGGGAAAACAGTACTTCATCATCTCAGGGGGGTATGGTGGACGAATGAGAAGAAGGGCCCGGGAATTTGGATCAGTGTACGAGCTATACTTGGCATCCTCTCAGTCTCCAGGTTTGAAAGTAAGCGTGACTCGGCACTGCGAGGAAGTAGAGGAAGAGGGAATGCCTGCGCTCAGTGTCGGAGAGCAGCTGGAGGTTTTGGGAATGACGCTGATGGACGGACTCGGGGATAAATCTGGAGCTGCTCAGAAAGTAGAATGTTTAATTTGCAAACGGACTAAGGAGGTGGACGACGAGGATGAGAACGATGAAGACGACGAGGAAGAGGATAGCGAGGAAATCTCTCTGCCACTGTTTATGACAGGTCACTTTGTGGAAAAGCTTTCAGACAACAAAAAGTATAAATTAACTGATTTAATAAGCAGCTCTTTGCCTCTGGATGTTAAAGTGGTGACTCGGGATAAAGACCTAGAAAAAGATCCCCTGATGGGGTTACCAGCACTTAAGCTTGAGGAGACTTTCACGGAGACCATGGTGTTGACAAGCCTACCAAATCAACCAGACTGGTGCTTTGAGTTGCCAGTACGCTGGTTACAAATGTCTCTCTGCTTCACCTCCGATCATTTGCCGTGGTCCGAGTCCCCAGAACGTCATGTAGAGACCGTCACTGAGGTGACAGAGAAATTCTACTATGAATATCATAAACTCGTGAGCAAAACTGAGGAACCACCTCCTCGTCCACCAAAGAGGAAGCCATCCAGTTCAGAAGTGCCTAAGAGGCCCTCCAAGTCTGAATCGAAATCAACAAAATTAAGGAGCGCTGTGACCAAACAGCTCGACAACCTTTCGCTGGGTGAGACAAAGGGAAAGCGTGCTCCTGCTCCACCTCCGCCAGAAGATGTAAGCATGGGCTTTTATTCACCCACTACAACAGAAATGCAGAATTCAAACATGAATATCTAGGTTTCATAATGAGTCATTCTTAGATCGGCTATTACAGGATTATCTATTACTACATTTTCCAAAATTCCCCTCTGTGGTTCATGTTAATGAGTGATGGAAAAATCAATTGCTCACATATTTACATGGAACAGTTAAAAGTATGGCAATCAATTTTTTTTAAATAGTTCATCCAAAAATATGATCATCTCGTTCCAAATCCATACAGCTTGCTTTGTGAAACAAAAAATGTTTAGCAAAATTTCTAACATGCTCTTTGCTATACAATGAAAGTGACTCGGGATGGACGCTGTGTAGGACTGTTACCACTTAAATTAAATCAGTATATCAGCAAAATCCATATGCACTGGAGCGCTGGCAGAAAGGCTGCATCTGAAGTCTATTGAAGTATGAACAAGAGCATGTCATTCATTAGGCAAATGTAATTTGTTTCTTTTGTTTGGTGGAACAAAATACATGTTTAGAACAACACAAGGGTGAGTAAATGATGATCAAGTTTTCATTTTTGGGTGAACTATTGGTACATGCGTAACTCATCGCTTATAAAGTCTTCTGCAAGCACCATGTTGAACGGTAACTATGCCTGTGTGTATTACTGAACAAACACACACTATCGTCATATGTTCCTCTTTTCTTATTTGTTTAGCTGGCTCAGCAGCTTATGAATTTTGTTTTTTTCTTGTGCAACTCCATTAGACTCTAGACCAGCCCCCTCCACTGTTGCCTAGGAAAGGCTCATCAATAGCAGAGAGCGTCAGTGCGCACAATACGTACGTGAAAAGCCCCACAGTAGCACACAAATCAGGTTAGTTTCTCTTTGCGTTTCAAGACGTTTGTTGCTAGCTTGATATTTGGAATAGCCCATCAAAGCTGAAATATTGAATACTAATCTATTCTTTCCTTTTCTTCCTCCAATAAACAGCAAAGAGACTCTCTGACTCTGACCATGACTATGAGTCTATCGAAGATGCATTTGAAAACCCCCACGAAAGCTTGTTTTATTAGTTCAAGGACACTTGTATCCTGCTGTCTTCATAGCAAGACGTGCCAAAGAAACCTAAGAAATCAAAAAAAAAAAAAAGTACCAGCTAATATGGAGTCTCCACTGTACCCACAACTAATGCTAATCTGAAACACTTTTCACGGTGTCTCAATACTCGAAGACAATGCAAGGTTTAACAAATAGAACATTTATTGTAAATCGGACAATGTCCTTTTCACTGCTTTTTCCTTACGGCATGCTGAACTTGAAAGAAAATAGCTTTATATGAGTGTGCTTTTATTAAAATGACCAAAACTAACTGAAATTATTTTTTTTTTTCATGAACACTATGTAGAGTGACTTCACTGTGACTTAGGCTTCATTGTCTGTTGATCTGAAGTGGTCCTCATCAATAGTGGAGAAAATGTGTCCCTCGTTGCTGAGAAAATCCACAATTTGCCTGTAAAAAAGTAAAGGGAAGTGAGAAACAAACCGGAGTGAAAAGACTTGGTGTTTAATGATGAGGTGAAAGTGCAGCAGACAGATATTAAACTCTGGCCTGGGTTGTGTTTTTAGACACCTTTTTCACTCAGTTGTCTTAGTTCAGCATTACATAGAAAGAGTGTTGAAAAGCATTTGCATATTGCAATCTGTGAAACATCTGGTGGTTAAAAATGAGACCAGTTCACTAACGCAATTTCAAATAAACACAGTTCCTTTTAATGTTCTATTCAAAGAATTCTGAAAAAAACTATCATGGTTTGCACACAAATTTTAGGCAGCCAAGTATCTTTTTAACATTTATAATAATAAGAACAATTATTAGTAATTGCTGCTCAATTATCATCAATTATAACTGGTGAAGACTGGAGTAATGACGCTGAAAATTGAGATCACAGCAAAAAATTATATTTCAACATTAAAATAGAAAAGTTACTTTAAATTGTAATAATATTTTACAATATCACTGTTTTTGCTATATTTCTGATTAAATAAATGCAGCTTTGGTGAGCAGAAGATACTTCTTTCAAAAACAAAAACGGGATTATTCTAAACTTAAACTGTAATGTGGGTTATCAGCTCAGGATGAGTAGATGCTGCTTCACTGATTTATTAGTTTTTGCCACTTTTGATTTACTAAAAAATCCTTACACAGAATGCCACTTGCGTTTGTCTGGGATGGATCTACTGCAAGACATGCAAGAGAACATGTCTGTAAGCAATGAGAAATGCTGAGCAGTTATGAGAAACCTTACTATAATACATGTGACTGCACACCAAGAGCGGGTTCACTTTTGTGATCGTTAACAGTTAAAAGTTCTCACGCAGGTGAGACTTTTTCATCAGTTTAGTGCTCATATCTGCTGACAAGATCATCTCACACTTGTTACTTGTTCTAATACGAATGGTTAGAATGCGAACTGCGTATTGCACTTTTTTTTTGCACATTGTCACGTTTATTTACACTTCTGAATTTTTTGTACTGTTGCTTCATCATAACTAAAATAACAGACAGATGGCTTAGTAATTTATAACAAATCTTTATAATGGTTGCCGATTTCCTCAGAACTACTTGTTGCAGTTTTCCTCAGCATTGTTATCCACTGAGATGGTTATTTGTGGTCAGTTTTTTTTTATTTTTATTTTTTATAAAAAGGCCTTCCTGATGTGCATGTACATCTGTTTTGGTTTAAAGAGGACTATATATTTAAAAGGTTTCTCTTAACTACGTGCTGTTCTTCAAGTGGTTATTTAACCCTTGTGCTGTGTTGAAAACCTTTTAACCCATTTATTGTTTCCAGTTTCAAATGACCAGCCTTTTAAAAAACGGCTTGTAAATCTCTCATTATGTTGTATTATCACTAAATCCTGGATTCAATCTTTTTGTCAACTTGTTCTTTCAATTAGCACTGGTATTGCGTTTCTTTGTGGTACTGGTTTATAGTAGGCCTCACTGATCTGAGCTCATGCACCTCAGTTTTTGAGTGAAAAAAGCATTATTTATAGATAATTTTGGCAATGTTCACTCGAGCTGAGATGCATACATTCAGATCAATGAAGCCTAAGATCAAGCAGTTCCAAAAGGAAATACAAAACCTGTGCTAACTGAAAGAAAACAAGATTGAATCATGATTTGGTAACAAAATAGCATGAGAAATTCAGAAGCAATTTTTGTAGGCCGGTCATTTTTAACTGGGAACACCACAAGTGCAACGAAGTATAAAAAGGGAAAAAAAAAAGATTTTTTTTTTTTTTTGGAAAGTTATATATATACTCTTTGAGCAAATTCAGTGAGTTTTAGTCCACTGCAATAACTAGCATTTTTGGGGAAATGAAAATCCTCTCGGGGTGTCAAAATGAGTGGAACTCAACATGAGGGTTAACAATAAAATAAAAATGTGCATTAAAAGAATGAAACTGTAACTTTCAAATCCATTGCAAAAAAGTATCAAAGGCTAAACTGAAATTGCAAGTCAATTTGAAAACAGTGTAAAAGATAAAAATGAAATTAAATACAAAACTGTGATAACTAAAACTAAAAGCAGAAAGATCTAAAAGATACCATTTCTACATAAGAACAGAATCAGTCTCATAAATTGGGAAAGAAACCACCGAGTCACAAATATGATGAGAATTTAGCTCAAGTTCATGCAAAACCTCACATGAACACCTTACTATGCCAGAAAATAGAGGAAGCCTCTTCAGGGAAATAAAGGACGTGTTATTCTCAAAGCTCAGTTGGCTTAAAAGAAGAGAAACTGAAACTAAGAAAGAGGAAGAGCAACGTCAAATCCCTCTCTGGGTTAAGACCCACTACAAAAGCCCTTTCAGTCCCAGGAGAAGTCTGTACCTGATGACTGTGACGCTCATGCTGCTCAGCTTCTGCTTCAGGTCTTGCATGCTGATGCCTTGAGGCTCATGACAGCTCTTGATCAGACTCAAAACCTGCACAAAGACCCACATCAGAAAAACACGCGCATATTTGGAACCTGTGATACTTTTTACAGGGTGAATAAAATACTTTTTCTTTGATGAATACAATGTTTAAAAGAAGAAACCAATCAATTTAGGTCTTTACGATCACTTTTTATCGATTTAACATCCTTGCTGAATAAAAAAAAAAAAAAAACTTTAACCCCAAACCAGCAGTGTAAGAAAATTCAGCGTTGCATTACAGGAATACATTCTTTTACAGTATGTTAAAACAGAAAACCATTATTTTAAATTGCAATAATATTTCACAATATTACTGTTTTATTTTTGATCAAATGCAGCCTTGATGAGCAAAAGAAACATCTTTTTAAAAAAAACATTTAAAAATATTACTGATCCTGCACTTTTGAATGGCAGCGTTCACACACACACACACCCTATTCAACTCTTGTACAATGAAGCATTTTTGACTCGCCTGATTCTGGTTGGCACTCAAACCATTGACTAACATCATACTAGCGCCAGAATAGCTTCCTGTGGAGCTCATGCTAGCATGCGCCGTGGGCATCATGTTCGTTCCTGCACCTCCTCCCATCTATAACAGATAGAGCATCGATTACCAAACACACTGGTCACAACAGAGAAAAAAACATTAATGCAAACACAATGAAACGGTGAAAGATAATAGCCGGGGCAACTTTCCCCAATGGCAGTTTTAATATTATATTACAAAATTATATTTTATTAAAATTATATTATTTAGGGCCCTATGATTTTGGATGAATAAAATCAAACATATAGCTGCACATTTAAGTCATGATATGGACTAGTGTCTGTGAACATTACACTGCAAAAAGTATACTCTTTAAAAGAAGTCCGCATGGTCTGTGCGTCACAGTTTGGTCTGCTGCACAAACTCAAGCACGCATGATGCTCGTCTGCATCTCACTATATAAGGACATGAACTTCATCTCCAGAGCTGCTCTGAGAGTCACTTCACCAGCATTTAGGGGTGCTCCGATTGATCGGCTACTGATCACTATCGGCCGATAATGGCTTTGGGATGATTGATCGGCGGTCTCTATAAAGGCTGATCTCAAAAATAACGATCTCAAGCTGATGACGCGTCTGCTGTGAGAGCGAGCTGCACGCTGCACAGTCGACACAGGAATTGTCACAATCGAGGCAGTGTCACATCGTCACTAAAGTTTATAAATTGCATTTCTTTTTAATTCTTGCCAGTGTTTAACCATTCAACGCTCGCGCGCTCTCCTGGAGACTGAGCGCTCATGCACACTCACAGCGCACACACATAACGCCAGGTTCACATTATTATACTCCATTATTGCAGTGCGTATTTTTTTCCGCACTCATGTGGCTGTCATGTGATCTGTGGCTGTTTACTAAAAACTCAACATTTATCCATTATTTTGATTTCAAATCCAAACATTGTTACTTAAAATGCTTTTTCAGCATTGTGATTAGTTTTTTACACAGTGCATTAGCTAATACAATCTTTCATAGACGTGTTTAAACGCAGTAAATGTAAGAAACACATTATTCAATGCTTTTTACGTTTGCATTTACTTCTAGATTAATAATATATGTCATGTGAGAAAAACTACCATCAGATACACAGTAGAACGTACTTCTCAGTGTAGTAACAACACATTTTATTGAAACATTACTTTTTAAGGAAACAGTAAACCTCTGTTGTGCAGCACTTTGCTTGCCCAAAAATAAAAAGGATTGTTCCAATGGCATATAATTACATTTGTAAAAAAATCTAAAGTTGTATGCATTTATTTGACTACCACAGGTTTTGATAATATAATTTTATAAAACTAAAAAACGGAACCCAGAAAAATTAAAACACAACACAGAGTTTCTGAAAAAAATAATAATAATAAAATAGGGCATTATTATTTTTAAGTAAGTTTTATGAATTCAATCGATTAGACACCTAGGATTATTCAAACTCAGGACACAATTATTATTGCAATTTTAATAAATATTAAATTGAAGTTTTATGAATTCAATTACTTACACATGGCTTTTTATTATCAAAAGTGAACCAGAAATATTTAAATGGAAAACACAGAATGTGGGGGAAAAATGAAAATCTTCCAGAGAGCATCTTAATCTCTAACATTCTGCTTAGGGGTGGGCAAACTGACGATTTTATATTGTGATCGATCTTGAAGATGAAGTCTACGATCTACTTCAAGTGAATAGTAGAGCACGTGATCTTTTATGCCTTCATAATAAGGTTCAAACTAGAGCAGTGATTGCCTACTAGATGACTGTGGCTGGTCAAATTATATCACATGTCTCTGTCATGTGTCTTTCATGCATGGTGGCGCATTTAAAAACAACGCAACATGAGCTAGCAGTAATAGTGCGAATACAATTTTAGTTTCAGTTTTAATTTGTGCAGCATTCCGTTCCATTCCTTTAAAGCGGTGCGTTTCGCTTCCCCAAAACTTAACGTCCAAATTAGTCCAATCATGTAATGCGACAAGCGTATAATGCAGTCTACTGTGGGGCATGCTTTATTTTAATAAGAGTTATTAAAAGGGGATCAACTGCAAATGAGACAGGCACGTTCTGTGTGCACACTCCGACATGCAGCTAAACACAGACGAGCAAAGTATACTTGCGTTCAGGCGTGTGCATAAATGGTCAAATATATACAAAAATATGTCTTGGTGAGTATTTATGTAAAGACTGTCAGAAGTCAGTTATGTCTTAAGTGAACAAACAACTGGGCAAGAAAATGGATGCGTGTCAGTATATTAGATCCGTGCATTCCATCTTCAAGCCTAACGCAAATACCTGCTACTGTCTGTGTCATTAATGTTAATCAAACAACAAAACACAGAAAATCACTCACTGCTCCTGACTGAATTCCTTTTTAACTTTAATAAGAATCAATGTATATTTGATTCATATAGTAATGTAGCCTAGTGTTTTAAAGTTTAACTCTGGCTTTAATCAACATTTTGGTTGTTTAATGCAATACTGTGTTTTAAATTGTTCAAACAGATGATTCATAGGCTTGTTCCAGTCTGGATAATCTTTATAGTACATCTTAAAATTGGGAAGATCACGATTCAGATTGTGATTTGGTGTGAAAAGATTGTGATATGATATTTTGGGAAGATCGCCCACCCCCAATTCTGCTTAAAGTGATAGTTCACCCAAAGATGAATATTCTGTCATTAATTACTCACCCTCAAGTCGTTCCAAACCCATAAGACCTTCGTTCATCTTCGGAACACAAATTAAGATATTTTTGATGGAATCCGAGAGCTTTCTGGCCCTCCATAGACACAACGCAACTGACACATTCAAGGCCCAGAAAGGTAGTAAGGACATTGTTAAAATAATCCATGTGACATCAGTGGTTCAACCGTAATTTTACAAAGCTACGAGAATACCTTTTGTGCGCAAAGAAAACAAAAATAACGACTTTATTCAACAATTCGTCTCCTCCGCGTCACCCTATATCGCCATTTTGGAGAGTATCACATACGTAATCAATGTATGCAACGTATGTCCACGGATACGCTGTTTACGTTCAGATCAAAGCGTAAACAACATAAACAGCGTATCCGTGGACCAGTGGCGGAGCCAGGATGTTTTTATAGGGGTGGCCAGGGAGGGGCCAGCAACCAGTTTGGGGTGGCACAGAAATCTTCATTATTTCAATATAAAAATGTCTTTGACTATAATGTACTGGACTGTTTTAGTGCCTAAAACACAAGTGAGTACAATTAATTTCTACTTAACTGTAATTGAGATTTGTGAATTAGATCAAGAAATACTGAGTGAATATGACAATTATTGTATTATTAACCTCCAGGTATTTTAATAAAGGGGCTCACTATAGCTTTATTGCTCATTCAGCTTCTCAAAACTTCCAAATGCTCGCTCTCCAACATTGCATACTCATGGATGAGGCATGCAGATAGTGATAAAAATGTGAAAAAGGCCGGAAGACAACAGTAGACTTAAATGCCAGAATATAAGTTATTTTATGCATTTAAATGGTTTCATTTTCGTATATGTTCAAGTATAAGTGCACTGTGCTCACATTAATTTGTGCATTAAATTACAAATTAAAAAATACATATCAGCTTGTGCCTTATCTTGTGATCTCGAACTGCAGAATATATTTTAGTACATGCATTTGAGAGACGTTCTTGTGTGCTGCATATACATGCACAGTTTGCAGCTTTAATCGCCTTTTTGGTAATTTCATGACTTAGCTGACGACGGAACTAAGTAACTGTATGCTCATAGTTTCCTGTGCGGGTTATTTATATGATGAAGTGATATAGAGCGTGCGCCACATATTTGCGTACCGTTGCAGAGTGTACACTTGAGCACAGTAAATCAAACATCCATCAAACATCTAGAGCACAGTAAAACGGCTGATGGGACAGGAAAGTGTGTTTTAATGACATGTAGTCTAACAACATCTCATCGCAGTTCACAGTTGTTCTACTGAAGCTCATTTGGCTGCTGTAGCTTTTCTGCGCTCGTTTGACTTGCGCCTGACGCTGAGGTGAAGCTGAAGTGCGCGTCTGAAACTTCTCTCGTTTGATGTGGTCATAAAGAGATACGGCGGTTCCGCATCTTAATAAATGCATTTCTTGTCAAGAAAAAAAGGGACAAAAACTGCAGTTTTGAGTGGGGTGGCCAAGCTTTCGTCAGTGGAGGCCACTAGGCTTGCCGCGATAGACGTGCTGACGGTGATAGCGTTGTTAAGCCGCAACACCGGTTACGTCACTTGCCCACAGCGCCACCGACCCCCACCGTCGTTTTGATTTTTTTATAGTAATAAAAATCATTTAGTTCAGTAAAAGAACAGACACTACAATTAAAAACTGAACGCGGCTGCTCAATGCAGCGTGCCGAACGACAGTCGCATCACAGATCAGATTTCATTTCTCCAGTGAGGAGAGTGAGTCGAGCTGACTGACAAGAAGAGTGGCGGATGATTTAGTTTCAAAACGAGATGCAAAAGTGCCTGTTTGGCAGTGGTTTTTTACATTTTATTTATAGTTATATTTACAGTATTTTGGAAGTTTTTTTAAACATCCGTTTCTTATTTAATTGGTTCCACATTGTTTGCTGATTTTTACTTTATTTAAACTGTGTAATTTATTATTTAAAAGTGAAGGAAAGCGAGGAAAAGAGGGAAAATTCAAATGATCCAAAAACGAACAGTTGCTTTACGCCGAATTGCCGTTATTTGAAAGTGAAAGTAAAATGCGCACGCCGCTTTTGCAAGCTATTTAAAAGTGAAGGAAAGCCAGGAAAAGAGGAAACGCCCCGCCCCCACAGTGATACCGGTATTATCGGTGTTGTCACACGTCGATTAACAGGTGGGAAAATTTCCTCACCGTCACAACCCTACTGGCCACACCCTGGCTCCGCCCCTGCCGTGGACATACGTTGCATACATTGACTACGTATGTGATACTCTCCAAAATGGCGCTATAGGGTGAAAGTCGTTATTTTTGTTTTCTTTGCGCACAAAAAGTATTCTCGTAGCTTTGTAAAATTACGGTTGAACCATTGATGTCACATGAATTATTTTAACGATCTCCTTGCTACATTTCTGGACCTTGATCGTGTTAGTATCCTTGCTGTTTATGGGAGGGTCAGAGAGCTGTCAGATTCTATCAAAAATATCTTAATTTGTGTTCTGAATATGAACGAAGGTCTTACTGGTTTGGAACGACATGAGGGTGAGTAATTAATGACAGAATTTTCATTTTTTGGTGAACTAACCCTTTAACGTCTCAGGACACAAATGTAAGCAAATGATCATTAAGACTTTACTATTTCAGATATTTGAGGCTTTTTATGGGCTCAAATTCTGAGCAGTACATTCTAAGACATAAAGGACCTGCAGGAACCCTGTATTAGTTTAATTCATAACCAAACCTATCATAAGCATATCATATCATAAGCATATAAGCACAGATAAGCATATAATAAATGTAATCTATGAGCTGCAGTGTGAGTGAGAGAAAAGCAGAAGTGTGGGGTGAGAAGGATATGCTAGTCTCACCATGCTCTGTGGTTTGCTCTGCTGCATATGAGCGTTCACAACCTCCAGCATGTGTGAAGTGACTTCATTCATGTCCTCCAGCACTCGGACGCTGAACGCAACCAAAGACCGGTTATTCTGCAATGAGACCAAACACTCCTGGTTGGTGTTTTATATACTATTCACATATATATTACTGAAGATGTTTAGGGAGCCATGATGGATAGAGACCAATGGGCATGTAGGGTTACTCTATTTGAAGATAAACACAAGGGAGTTATGAACCTGCTGGCCTCACCAACAGTCTTCCAGCAATAAACGGTGATCTTTATTGCATGAAGTAAAAAAAGATTCTATCATTTCTCAACTGCAGAATGCACAGGAAATTATATTTTAATTAAATAGTGCAACAACTCCATCCACACTTCAACTTACACATGTAAGCACATATAAAACAGCACTTTAATTTAGATTTTAATTAATTGCACACAAGTTCTCACCTGAAAAGAGCGGAGGTTGCCGGAGACTTTGACGTAAGAGCCTGGAGGGATGACTGAGTTATCCACACCCATGTCCTGGAAAAACAAAAAGACTTAAAAATAAATATATGAAGGTTATTAACCTCAGGGCTCCAAAACTTTTTGATCAGTCAATTTCCATGACATTGCTTTCTAAATAAAGACATTTAAACAATTTTATCAGGGTTTCTGTAGGTCTGATGTAGGGCTGTGCGATTAATCGAAATCGAATCGAAATCGCGATTTGAGACGTTGCGATTTCCTAATCGCAAAGCCTGCGATGTGGACGCGATATTACTTTGTTCCAGAGCATATGCATGACTGCCAGACTTGAGCTGCAATCTTACTTGCCCTGCTGTGATGGTTTCTATTGTTTTTTTCAGCAGGGTAATGATACCCATACTGTGCTGCACATTATTGACAATATTGAGCTGAAGCTTGACTTTGCAAATTTAAAATCGCAAATCAAATCGCAATATCTGTCAAAAAAAATCGCAATTTGATATTTTCCCCCAAATCGCACAGCCCTAGTCTGATGATGGTAAATTTAAGAGTTTTTAAAGACCTTTTTAAGACCAAGCAAGACCAAGACACGCACGAATACAAACACACACACACACACACACACACACGCACGCAGCTTAAGGTTTGAATAGCTCTGCTGCCAAACACTGGAAAATGGGAATAACTTTTGCTGTACCTTCTGATCACACTGCAAAAACCACACTGTGATTTTCTTCCTCAGAATTTTTGTCTCTTTTTCCAGTGCAAATATCTAAAGATTCTTAAATGAAGATACAGTTACTTGAAGCATAAAGACAGAAAATCAGAACTCTTGTTTTATGAGAAACTTATCAAAATGAAGCGAGTTAATGATTTAAACAAGTGTCTGTCAATGGGCTAAGAATTCAAATGGAAAATAAGGTTTCATTCCCCAATGACAGATATTTGTTCTTGTTTAAAGCATAAACTCAATTGTGTTCAAATTTTCAAAAAATTTGCATCTCAAGTAAATTAAATTACCTTGATTTAAGGATGTTGAGATATTTGTATTGAAAAACAAAAATACTGAGGAAGATATTAATTTTCGCAATGCATGAAACATTTATTGCTATGACTACAAATTTAAGCCTTTCTGCGCCGATTAAGACTTTTTAAAGGCTTTTAGTGCAAGGACAAAGTGCGAATTAAAACCATTAAGACCATTTTTTGCACTCAAAAGGACAATTTCTAGCTTATCTAGCAAACAAAGCTGAGGATAACAAGACAAATCTATTCACTATAGAAATGTCCATGACTTTATTTACTCATTCAAATGCCAGTTTTGTATCATTGGGATATTATTATAGTTTTTGTTCATATTTTGAACTAGTTTTTTATCTTAATATTTAACATTTTCATTTTTAGTAACTGTGTTGCATTTAGTAATTTTTAATGGTTCTTGATTTTGTTTAAATAGCTGAGGATAACAAGACAAATCTATTCACTATAGAAATGTCCATGACTTTATTTACTCATTCAAATGCCAGTTTTGTATCATTGGGATATTATTATAGTTTTTGTTCATATTTTGAACTAGTTTTTTATCTTAATATTTAACATTTTCATTTTTAGTAACTGTTGCATTTTGTAATTTTTAATGGTTCTTGATTTTGTTTAAATACATCTATATAATCTGTATTGATTTCAATTTTAGTTATTTAAATTAAATGAAAACTAGCTGAAATAAATGTATTTATTTATAGATACATTTATTTATATTTAAATTTTCAAGTAACGAATATGATTGTTAATGGTTTCAGTGAACTACAAATCAAATTTCAATATGATTACAACTCTCGAAACAACGCTCAAATCCATCTAAAGCTGTACCTCTGTGTCGATCCACTGCTTCACATCCATGGGAGCTGCCGTCATGTCATCCACCTTATACTGGATGTTGATTGTGGATTTATCAGTGTTTCTGATCACACCAACAATAGTTACCTAGACAAATCCAGACAAAAAAAGCCATCAAGTCACTTGACAAAGACAAAAATAAAGGGCCTATGTGAAAACATACTAGAGAAAATGCTTGCATAAGTATATCAGAAATGACCGCTTGCACAACTACTTTCCTGTTTCACCATCATGACCCTGGCGTTCACGTTCAGAGCACTTAAACAGAGGTATTTTTTACACAGAGAAGCTACGGTGGCCGACTCAGGACAAAGATGTCTTCGTCTGAGACAGCAGAGAGTAGCCAGTCAAGCATTGAGGTTTCTTTACAAAGGTAAATTAAG